CAGCGAGAATTTCTTTTAGATTCAAACTAAAAGCTTACAACTTTCTTAAGAAGAGCAAGGCTAGTTCTTTCTGGTTCTAATTCTTAAAAGTTAAGAAATAACATGATTTTATTATTAAGTGAAAGAAATGACCTTACTCTTCTGTTGGGAAGAGATCATCAACAAGTACTGTTAGTACAAACCAAGAACTGAGAGAATGATTGATCCAATGAAGACAACTTTGCTTCTACCAAGCCTTCGTGTATATTTGATTGAAGACAAAAACCTCTTTCTACCTCGAAAGAAAACAGTCGATGAGCGACTTTCCATGACATCTCACATTTGTAACAAATACACTTGAAAAACCACTCAGCGGAAGATTCATTTGTTGTTCCGCTCCATTTTCATAACACCTACAATTGGAAAGGTTGAAGCTTAAGCATGAAATGATTCGACGGAATCATACAGATTCTAAAACATCTAACACCAATTGTTGTTTCTAGGCAACTCTAGTCACATATTTAGTCCCAATCGTCCACAAAAGCGCAATTCTAATCTCTCTTCCTTAAGATTCCCTTCAATCGAAAACATCGTGCACACAGAGAGGACCGTAAACGAATTCAAAGGCTAGTCTAGTCGCTGTTCCTTAAGATACCTTCAAGTGAACATCGTGCACACAGAGAGGAACTCACAAGAATACAAAAGCGAGCAGAAGAAAGTTCAAAGGCTCAGAGTTTTACGTTACATGGAACAAAAAAGCAAGCAACTTTATGCAAAACCAGAGTAGAACACCACTGTTCCTTTCCAATTCTAAAACCTTATTAGGCACTACAATTCAACACCATCCATACATAACAATCAAACAAACCAGAGCTACAAAATCCATCTGCTTTCATAAAACAAGAAAAGCTCAAGAATTTAAAGAAGGGTACCTAAAATGGTTACTCCATAGAAACTTTAGCTCCAACAGCCTTCAACTTCTCTATAATCTTCTCTGCTTCTTCCTTGCTAACTCCTTTCATAAACACTGTAGGAGTTTTCTCAACCAATTCCTTTGCTTCCTTCAATGCCAAATTCGTAACCGATCTCACTTCTTTAATCACTTTCAGCTTCGAAGCCGCTTCGAACGCTCCAAGTATCAAATCAAACGCCGTCTTCGTCACCTCCTTCTTCTCTGGTACTTTCCCGGCACCGGCGGCTCCGGATTTACCGGCTACAGATCCCATCCCTGGCATCATCGTCGCCATCACAGGCATTTCACCGACGTTAAGCTTCTGCCTAAGTACTTCAGTCAAATCCATTGTTTCCAATAGCGTGAGATTCGAGAGCTCGTTGACGATTTTGGAGACATTCTCCGATTGCGTCGCCGGCGACGAGTATCTCCGGGATTGGATCGAGATCAATCTATCGGAAACTGGGTTTCTCTCGATTGATTTGAATCCTCGTGAGAAGTGAGAGGAGATGATTCGTAGATTCCGCATAGTTTCTTCTCTCTAAGCTGAAGAATTCTTCATGACAAGAGAGTATCTGAAGCTGAAATGAGAAAATGTATAAACCCTAACTAGACGGTGGTGATATAATTGGGCCTTTGTGGGCCCGTTCAAATTTGAGAATGATATTTTTCTTTTATTCTTTCTAAAATTCATAGAATCGTTTTTAGGGCCCAAGAACAGCAAATTAATATTGGGAAAATTTTAACAATGTCATGTCAAAAATGTTATCATGAGTTATCAATTTTAGAAAATGTCATTAATTAAAAAATTTTCAAACACTAAACCTTTGAAATATGGAATGGATAAATGCTCTGCACGGATAACTCCTATTAAAAAAGGGGACGAGTTCAGTAAAATGTAATGTCCGAAAAATGAATTAAAGCGTAAGAAAATGAAAAGAATTCCTTATGCATCCGTGGTTGGGAGTTTAAACTATCTCGGGACTTAGGATCGTTGACACTATAGCTAAGCCGCTAAGAATTTATTGTGATAATTCCGCAACTATCTTTTTTGAAAAGACAAATCCTCGAAGGATGCTAAGCACATGGAGTTAAAGTACTTGTATGTCAAAGAAGAAGTACAAAAATGTAGATTGTCTTTTGAACACATTAGGGCGGACATGATTGTATCGGATCCGTTAACTAAGAGATTACCACCCAAGGCGTCCAATGGCCATGTAAAGCGTATGTGTTATAGATAAGACCCTGCTATAAAGATTGTAGTATGCTCATTAGGTATGTGACATTGAGAATTCACTTAAAGTCATGTTTCTGTTATATCAAATATGTTATCATAAAAGTATGCGTGTACACTTATAGACAACAGATCTTCCAAACCAAGGTATCATTTTTCTTTCTCTTGTCTGTATAATGTAATCTTCTGAAAATTTAGGCAATTCGTAGTCTTAAGGATTATGTTTAACCACTTGTGGTTTTGTTGGGGTTTAGGGCTTCTTTGAGACAACAGACAAATGTAGGGGTTTAGGGAAAGAATGTGAAACTGGATCATATCGTGAGGGCCAATTTCGACCCAATATCGATGACAAAGTTATACATTACGTTTGGTGCAAGAGCGAGAAGAAGAAAACACTGTTCTTTTCCAATTCTAAGACCTTATAATAGCATCCATACATAACCATTCCTCACAATCTGAAAGATTCTTCTTCACTAGCCATAATCCATCTGCTTTCAAAAAACAAGAAAAGCTCAAGATTTTTTTTAAAAAGGGTACCTAAAATGGTCACCACATAGAAACTTTAGCTCCTTCAACAGCCTTCAACTTCTCTATGATCTTCTCTGCTTCATCCTTACTAACTCCTTTCTTCACCATTATAGGAGCACAATGAACCATCTTCTTTGCTTCCTCGAATCCCAAATCCGTAACCAATCCCACTTCTTTAATCAAGTTTAGCTTCAATTTGAAATCCCCTTTGAACTCTTGGAGCATCACATCGAACGCCTTCTCCTTCTTCTCTGGTCCGAGATCCGAGAGCTCGTTGGCGATTTTGGGGACATTCTCCGATTGCGTCGTCGGTGACGAGTATCGCCGGGATTGGATCGAGATCAATCTTGCGGAAACTGGGTTTCTCTCGATTGATCTGAAACTTCGTGAGAAATGAGAGGAGATGATTCGTAGATTCCGCATAGTTTCTCTCTAAAGCTGGAGAATTCTGAATCTGAAATAAGAAAACGCATAAACCCTAGCTAAACGAAGGTGATGTAAATGGGCCCTTATGGGCCGTTCAAATTTGTGAATGATATTTTTCTAAATTCATAGAATCGTCTTTAGGCCCAAGAACAGCGAATTAATATTCAGATACTGTCATATAATAACGGAAATAATAAATTTATAACATTTTTTGCTTTCATATGTTGAAAAGAAAAAAAAGTTAAAATATTTTCCTAATGAAAGTTTCTTGGTTGGGTAAATTCAACTCTCTCAACTATATTTCTTAAACGCAAAGCAGAATAACACAACATACAAACTTTAAATGACAAAATGAAAAACAACAATACCGAAACCAAAGTGTAAAACAAGTGTCACACATTTCTTCTCCAAAATATTTTTTTATTTCTATTTTCTTCCCAACATTTTCCTTATCTCACGACGAATTCAAGAGTTCATCTTCCTGCAATTCTTCCTGATTTCTCCATTCGAACCAGTCAAGGGAGAGAGATTTCCCATCTTGATCATTGATTCCGCAAACTGCTCGAAAAACTCCTCTTGATCCTCTGCATACTTCTTCACAAGCTCTCTCGATTGCTCGTTACTGCTGAACAGAACTTGGTCTGAATTCAACAAACCTTTGTTCTCTATCAAGTTCTTGAAGTAGCTATTGTCGAATCTCGCGGCGCTGATGATGTCTAGCACCGAGAGAATCTGGTCTCCACCGGATCTTGGACACCTTTGGCGCAAGTTAGCAGCAAAAGATTGTTCCAATGTCATGTCTGGTCTGCCGTTTCCGGACTGGTTGTATAGCCTCTGTCTGAAACTCGTGCATCTCGAGAATCCGATGGTGTGACTCCCTGAGAAAACAGTTATGAGATATGGTAGCTTGAGAAGCAAGTAAAGTAATAGGGTTTCTTTTAATTGTGTTCCGTGTGTGTGTGAAGCAAATGTGAATGAGTGAAAGAATCTTACCGGAGAGAGCGACAAGATCGGTGACATCGAGTCCTTGACGCTTAAACTTTGTGAGAATGGTCTGGAAAGTGTTGTTTGGTGCAGGGATGTTGTTGTTCGAACCACTCAAGCTTGCACTTCTTGAATCCCTTCTTCCCAATGGAACCACCCAGCTTGGTCCACCACTCTAAACCAAAAAACAAACCAAATCAGCTGAATTTTTAAAATTTGGTTCAAGAAAACAAAGATTGTGTAGGGGACTTACAAGAACAGAGGAGTCTCTAGCGGCTAAGGTTAGAACATCGGCGCAAGAGACAATTCCAGGGCATTGTTTCTCCAACTCGGCTTTGATCTGATCAACTACGTCGAATCCACGAGCAGATTTACTGTTAGGGTTCGAGCCTTTCTCACTCACTATCCTCCCACTGCTGTCTAGAAGCAAAGAGCCATCACAACCCTACATTTCGAAGTTACCTTGGTCAACAAGTTACTAACTTAATACACAAAACATGACAAAGAAATTAACCAAACCTGAACGAAACAGTCGTGGAAATGAAGTCTCAATAAAGAAGCAGCCATACGAGTCTCTCTAGCAACGGCTTTAGCTACAACTGATCTCACGATTTCCCCGGCTTGCGGGCAAGAATGGGAGTAATAACCCGGGAAGAGTTTGCCTCCATAGCTCTTATCGCAGAGACAAAGAGGGACAAAGCAAAGGAGAGAAAGAAGAAGAAGAAAGCTAGTGAGTCTTGCCATTAAATTACTCTC